CTGTTGTAAACGAAAGAAAATGTTTATTTGAAAGCAACTGATAGAGAACAAAATGCTATTTTTAGCGAACGCAAAATTGGGACTTTCCAATTAATTTTCCGTAACTATGTTCCAAACTATGTAAAGGTTTCCCGACAAATCTTAAAAGCGATTTGTGACATTCATTAAAAAATAAAGTGAAGATGAAAAGTTGCTATCCAACGCGATCTGTCTACAAGCGTAAAATAACTGTCCATATGAATGGAATTTATATGAATATACGATTGATTTAATGGCAGTAACAGGACCCAAAAAGCGATATTCATTTAGAGTTACTGCTATTGTGAAGCTGAAATCGTTTGAATAGTTTTTAGCGTTTTTGTTTGCCACATGTCCATTAAAATCAATTTTTGTTTCAGATGGTTTAGAGCAAAAGTCCAGAGTTAAACGCCCACGGGCGCCTCCTCCTCCTGATCCGGAAAATGATGTTGATGGCGATTTTGATGAAAGAAACAATGATCTGAGCACAAATTTCGTACCTGCCGGATTCCTAAGCCCTTCAGTGCTGGAATATTTAGAATTGGGCAAATCCATTCCAGGTAATTTACCCGGTGGTAAAGATATTCGGCAATATTGCATCATTACCTTAAAAGCATTTACGGGACATTAACTTTTACACGACCTTAGCCAATAAATTAATAATTGTAGAGAGGAAAAATAATTAACCTTAATGACGATTTTTAACAACGTCTTGGCCAACCTTGCCCCATATCAAAGTCGAGCAGTCTTCCAACTACATACAAAGACAGTTTAACAATCAATAGCAAAGGACTGTCTTGTTTATAATAATTTAACCGTATTCGTATATGCTAATTTCTGGCGTTAATTGCGAATAAAAACAACTATCATAGTTGATGGTCAACGCTGATAGATAATCAATCTGCAGTTATTTAATTAGATCCGTAGTAATGGTGTGCAAGGACTTCTATCGTCTAGTGTTATTGTCACGATATTAATCTGCAACTCATATCTTATCAATGGCTTAGTGTTAGCTGTTAGGCTCCGCTGAAATTATGTTTTCAACTTTCTTACATTCATTCAAACATGTTCTGTATCGTAAAGCGTATGCCATTGTAATGCAGGAGAATGAGTAATAGAAATATTTAACCAACAGACAAGGTATTTCTAGCCAGATTTGATTGATGGTTACATTTTACATCAAGCATATCTACAAAGAAGATATTTGCTTAATGAAAGCTATATATAACATTTGAACAATCTGCTTGATTTTTCTTGAAAATGAGGTTTGATAGACCGATAAACATGTTGGGTGTTATCTACCAGAAACAACACGAGGAAACAGGGGAGAAAATTTAATTTCAACAATAAATTTAAAAAGCTATACAACATGAAAAGAAAATAATTCAGACGCAAGCAACAAAAAAAAAATATACACATATTTTCGAAACTGCAACCTCCAGGCGAAGAGCAAATGTGAATGATATGATCAAATAGGCAAAAAACTATAAAATAGTATTGAGCGAATGAAAAAAAATATATGAACAAGAAAGTAACCATTCTGATAAAAATAAAATAATAAGGATAAGATTCGGCCTATCAGTTCGATGAAAGAAAGTAGCACTAATGAAAGCAAATCAAATAATTAATTATGCTACTAAATGCATAGAACACCAAAGAGTAGACAAATGCGAAAAAACAACAACGACAACGGAGAACGAATAATTAATTAAACTTATGCAAAACTATAAACTAAAGTATAAGACT